GATTGGCGGGTGCTGGATAAGACATTCATTACCCTTCAAAGGGTCCTTGAGGAAAGTTTGAGGATGGGCGGCGACAACTCGTACAAGTTACCGCATTTGGGCAAGGACAAAGTTTTACGCCATGGACCGGCCGCTCGCGTCGTTTGTGATCCAGATGTGGTCAGTAGCATTCAAGCGATGAACACTCGAATGGACTTCGAGCGTAGAGTAGATAACCTTTCTAGTGTTCTTGCTTTGTGTGTCGTTGAGAGTACGATCAATATGTCCAATATTGACGAACTCTGCACAATGGTTGAAGAAGTTAATGACGACGAAGGTTGACCCATATCATGCTGACTCCTGTCGTACAATGCGGATTTTGAATAAAAATACAGTTTTGTGATATGTTTGGCCTACATAAATCAAGATAAAATTCTTCCGGATAAAAAGGTCTCCAGTTTTATGAAACGGAGGAAGTATTAGTTAATCCACTCTGTAAACCCCCGCGTTTGCCGAAATGAAATGGGCAAACGCTTCAAGTTAGCAACATATGCTGCAGGAACAGCTTTTGCTCATCCAATCAAAGGTACTTCCGATTAGCTAAAACTAAGTTGAATTAATATAAAATTTCGTCACCCACTTGTTAAAAGCGGGTATTTATACCCAGATTAGCCAAAATATGTGAATACATGGTTCAACTACTATTAATACATACTAACGTTAATGGTCTAACTACTACCCATTATTAATAGTACTGCACTTTGTACTACTAGAGTAGTACTACTATACATATATGTATGTATCAATCGTCCTGTCGATTAACAAACGGGTCAAAGAACCTATCCCGGGCAAAGTACCCGGCCACGTCATTCCACTTTGCACGCAATTGGACGGATTGTCCATCCTCGTCTCCTGTGACGAGGCCTTTCGAGTGCAGCAACACCACGACGTCGTGAAAAGCGGCGTCGGGGAGCTCCAGATACGTCCCGAGGGGGGCGACCAGGGCATCGTACGCCCTTCGCAGCGCCGCCTCCGACTCGTTGTCGGCTCCGACGTCGTTGCGTTGATAGAGTTGCCACGCTGCAAGCACCACGAGCTACCACATCCCACGGTTGCATCCAACACATACAGTGATATATATATATTCATACCTGGATGGTCCGAGGCAGCGGCATCAACATCGCGTCTGTGGCGGTCGCCGACGACGCCCTCGCTTTGAACGTGTCGAGCACATCCGAGAGAGACACGGGGGTGCGAACCCCCGACGCCTGCTTGGCCTGCACGGCGAAGCGACACACGTCCAGCGCCATGCCGACTGTGCCCGCGGGCATCAACGACACCTTGCGAGCGACGTACATCAACGCCATGGCGTCCATCAGCACAACCGCCGCCGTTGAAGAAGAAGGCTCGACGCGCTGCGATAGGATTTTATACAGCACGTCATGTGTACAAGGAGGCACGGCCTCCATTTTGAGTATATCGTTGGCTACATTCACTTAAAACAATATATATATATATATATATATATATATGGATATTGATGTACACTGGAGAAAGCCATGGCGCACGGCATGATCCAGGTACATGCGCAACATCTCGGGGGCGGTGGTGGCGGCAACCAGCACCAGCGACGACGTTGGAGCACATGTCCACTGCAAGAGGCGGCACAGCGACGTATCGTCGAACCCGTCGAGCAAAACGTCGACATCATCCAAGAATACACACCTGTACATCACACCTCCAACATTAAAATGGCCTGAGCAAACGGATCTACGATGGCCAACAGGGAGTCGTACGTGGTGACGACAGGTTGCTCCCCGAACGCCGCGTCCAACGCAGCCACCGCGTCGAGATCGGTAGAAAAATTCGCTTGCTGGGTCACTTGGCGCGCCAACGTCCGCAGGACCAAACTGGTGCTTTGAAGCTCCATCGCGTTGATTTGTACGACGTGGATAGGACGAGGCGCAGCGTCAGGTTGTTGGTCCCGACTCTGGACGTGTGCTGCCAGTCGACGCAGCAGAGTCGACTTGCCGCTGCCTGGCAGGCCAGTCACAACCACGCTGGCCCCCTTCGTCGTGCCCGCGACCGCGTTGTCGACGCAGCTTTGCAGCGACCTCCACGCCCCATCGTCCATGCTGTCGACCCTCTTCTCGACGTGGAACCCACGGCTGAGTCGCCCTAGCAACCGGCTGATTTCCGCGTCAAAGTGCGCGGGGTGGTCGAACGTTTGTTCCCGCGACGACAACGTGGCTATATCAATGTCGTTTAAAAAGGACGAATTCCAAGCCAGAATCTCACCATCTCGAGGAGACAGCGGCGCGACGACGCGGCGGACTGGCTGGACGTCGGGTGACGCAGTGGTTGTCGACACGCTCTACTTGATCCATATCAAACACAACACATACATAAGAGCATACGCGTACAATGACAGATGAAGGCGACGCCGACGGATCGACGGGCGAGGTTGGGATGGGCGGTGGTGGTTCCACCTTGATTGGATCGTCTTCCTGGTCCGAGATCGAGTCGTCGTAAATGTTGGCGTCGCTCACACCGTGCCCTTCGTGCCCGTGCATCGTCACGTCGACTTTATGTTGTTCAGTGGCTTGAGCCAGCGACGTCGACAAAGCCGTCGACGGGGGTGCCTTTGGCGTCCTCCTCCTTGGCTTTGAAGGTCGATTGTCAGCGGGGGGGATGGGGGGGCGGGTTAAAAACGAGGTGGCTGCCCCCTCCCGACGGGCGTCGGTACCCTCGTCGACATTGCCCTCTTGGGTCATTGGCGGTTTTGGTTCTGTCGTTGTACATACCCCTGGGCGACGTTTTTTCACCTTGGAAGGGCGATTTGCATGTTCGGCCAATATCTTGGCCTCCAGGGGGCCCCACATCCCGTGTTCTCTTAGGAAGGCCTCGACGTCCGCTTCACTGTGGAACACCCTGGGGGTCGCCGGCCCGTCGTCGTTTTCCGGATGATGTTCGGGCTTGAAGTAATCAAACCCAAACTTCCCTTGCCGATGGAACCACCCGTGCGACTGCAGCTCCTTGTACACGTTGGCAAACTGAACTCGAAACGGTCCAACGCCCTTGGCTGCACCGTAGTCGTCGTCGAGATGGGGCGACTTCTTCTTGGACACCCGCCCCCCCCTCGTCTCGACAGTCTCGCCCCCCCCACGTTTCACAGTTCCCGCCTTGTCCAATCGCGTACCCGCTTTGTTTTGCCTGTGAATCCCCTTCTTGCCACCCTTTTTACGCCCAGCAAAGGACTGCTTTTGCAGCAATTTCAGTGCAATTTTCTCCATTCTGGCAGTACCTGCCCCATTCTCGCCCGGAAGGGCTAGCTTGTCATCGCCCCCTTGAACCTTAAAGTACTCTGTTCCGAGCGTGCTGTTGACTGATGTCCAGCCCAGCCGTCGCAGCACCCCCTCGACGTGGCGCAACTTGAGATGCTCCTTGGAACTGTCCGCATTAGCATGTTGCCGGACTAGGGCCATGAGCGCCGCGTCCTTTCTTACATGCGCTTGAAAGTCGTCGGCGTGAATGAAATAGTCGACTCCCACTTGTCCAGAAAAGTTCTTGTACAACGCCCCCGTATATGTGACATGGGGCGCGCAGTACACGAGTCGATGGAACTTGCCCGTGGGCACGAACTGCCACCCCCGCTGCCCCAACGCAGTCGTCATATCGTGCAAAGTCACTGGCACGTTCGTGATCTTGGCCACTTGGCGATGCTGCCTGCGACTTGCGCCGCCGCCATTCCAAATCCCCGAACTGGACACAGTACTGCCAAACAGGTCAGAGTACACGCGCCCCTCGATGTCTTGCAGGAGGCCGGGGGTCGCCTCCAAGTACGCCCACACGTCGGCTTCCAGTGCAAACCGTTGGCCAGTGGTGGGTTCAACCATCACGTCGTCGTGGCTATCGTCGTCGTCGTGGCTATCGTCGTCGTCGTGGCTATCGTCGTCGTGGCGGCTATCGTCATCGCTTGTAGCCGTGGTCCAGTGCATGGTATTTTGCAACACCAGCCACACCAGTCCAAACGGATACCGCCCACCTCCTTCCGACACATGTTTGGCCAATGTCTCCGGGGTCCACACCTTGCCTCCGTGCGCGCAGCAGATATGATGGTACTGCTTCCGCTTGGCGCAATGGGGAACAGCGCAGTAGATTCGCAACTTGCCTGGCTGTGACAGAGGAAGGGGTTCGTTGTGGTAGTGGGGGGAGTCGCGCTCCCGTCGGCAAAACGCCACCACCGCGTCCATTTTGGACGAGTACCACGCCATGTGGTGGCCTCGCTCCATCTGCTGGTCACTTGCCGTCTGTGCTTTGGCTCGACCAGGAATCGGCGTCACATACACCACGTGACTCCGTCGCAGCGTTGATTCGCCCTTGCGATGCCGTTTCATCAACTCCCACACGGCCGACCACAACCATGAGGTCTCTCGCTGGTCGCCGCCTTCTTGCTGGGAGACGTAATAATAATAGTGCACGGCTTGCAACAGTGCGATTCGTTTGCTCGGTGTGGGTTCAGCCTTGGATTTTAATAACGGCGAGAGATACAATGGGCGGTCGCCAACCTGGACGCTCCATCCGTCTGCCACGAGGTTTGGCCACACTTGGTCCAACACGGCACCCCACGCCGCCTCGAATGACTCGTCGGATGTGGTCAATGTCTGAGGTGTGGCGGCTGTGGTTCCGTTGAGATGGTCGTTTCCTGGAGATTTGACGACTGTGAGTCTTGCATTCGCTCGGTGCCTCTTGACATAAGCCATCCACGGGGCACTGCTTCGAATGAACGCTTCAAACGCCCTTCGGGAGTTGAAGTAGTCGCGTCCGACAGCCCCGGAGACTGCCACGTCACCGTTTGATGTGGAGATGGTTACATGGGGCTTGCAGTACAAGAGCCCGTCCGGTGTGGGCACCCACGTCCACCCCGCAGACGGCAGCGCCTGCTTGATGGCGAGAAACGTCAAGTCGTCGTCGGCAGCTTTGAAGGCAGCAGATGATGGTAAGACCTTTCGTCGTTTCACTGCCGAGTGCTCCACTATCTCGTCCGTCGAGGCAGGGGACGGCTTTGTGGCAACGCGAGGTCGTTTGTACGTTGTTGCCTTGGGAACATGGCCCGTAGGTACTGGCGGAGGGGACAAGAAATCCACCGCCTGCGACAACGTTACTTGGCCCGCACGCCCTCGGCAACATGCTTCAACCCATTGAGGATGCGACTTGCGCACGCCTTCCAGCAGGACTTCGGCGGCAACGGCATCGGTGATGGACGGATCCACCGCCGCTGCGGCATCGCGCAAGGACAGCGTGCGGTTGACATACTCGGCGATGGATTGTGTAGATGGGTCGTATTCGCTGGAGTAGAAGGCCCGCTTGGCAGCGACCACAGCGGTACTCGTATGCGACGGGGGTTCAAAGTGCTGGAGAAGCGCAGTCCATCGCTGGCGCGGCGTAGCTAGATGGGCCACCAAATCATACATGGCAGCATCCATGGCTGAGAGTAGGATCCAGTTGGCGACATCCTCCTGAGCTTCGCGATCGCATACTGGGGTTCCGAGGGCTGCTATTCTGTCGTGGTCTGTTGCAAACACATTGACAACGCCTTTAAGCTTGGCATACGCCAACAGCCTAGCCTTCCATAGAGGAAAACTCGTCCCATCGAACTGTAAGGATGGCATGTGCTCTATACTTGGCACGGACCACACCATCTCCCGGGTTGCTGCTCGAGCACTCGTACCAGTTGGGAGGCAGCAGTGTGGATTACAAAAGTTGCACCCCAACATATGAGCCAATTAGAACGAAAAGCCGTCTATCACATGTATTATTTGTCCTATTGATATTAATAATAGTAACAAGTATTAATACTTCGAAGTAAATAATACTACGTAGTAATAATACTCGAAGTATCAGTCATTCTTTTTTAGTAGTAGGATTTAATCATATCGCGCATTTCCAACAACCCAAGGTCATGGCCGACGTCAGCGTCGACTGGGATGGGATCTTCAACAAGGTGTGGCCGTCGCTGCAAGAGGAAGGATGGGGGGCATCAACCCACGAAGACATGCCGTCGTTCTACTTCTCCCCGGATGTCACGTTCCTCACGTTCGAGGTGAACGTGACCATCCTTCCAACTAAACGCGACTTGCTTCGCCGTGTGCTGGCGGTGCACGCATCGGAAGACTCCCCCATGGCCGCAAGTCACGAGATGCTGTGGGATCTGGTGTGGGCATCTCTGGAGACCTCTAAGTGCGCGTCCACCATGACCTTGCGCAACGTGGTCGTGTACTACTCCACCGCAGTCTCGGTGTTCGACCTCGAGTTGCACAAGACCATGTTCGAATCGAAACGAGCGGCCGTCCTCCAGCTCTTGGGCATCCTCCCTCCTGAAACGTCAAAGCAGCAGGCGTCGCCTGAGAAGCCACCCGCAACGATGGAGCCGACGACACTTGGTCGCAGAAAGCGAGGCCGGCCTCGACTGCACATGGACGCCCCGTCATGTTCCGCAGCCGACTGCACTAACTTGGCCGTACGTAAGGGCGTGTGCTACCGCCACCGCCTCTCCCAAACACCCGGCAATTCCCTAGCGAACCCCGTCAACCCGTCACTAATCGATGTCGTCGAATCCAGCGGCAGTGCCAAGCGACGAAACAAAGGTCACAAGAGTGAGTTGGGTCCACGGCAACATGGTGCTCGACGCGACCGGGCGGACCAGCCGCCTCAAGAGCACGACGTCATCGAACTCTTGGACGACAGCAGCAACGGCGACGACGACGACCAAGTTGCCGCCAAATCCAAGCAGAAGGAGCGACGCACCCGACAGGCTCAGTGTGTTGTCCCGAGGGTTGCGTCTTTTAAGCGAAAAGGGCTGCATGAGAAAACCACGTCGCAGGCTGGGAGTGGCAAGATCAAAACACACCGACGACATGACAAGTGACTCTGTCGCATACACACAACGCCATGCGTTCGGGGGGCGTTGATACTGCGCATGGGAATATCGAAGGCCTTGTTTTTTCGTGATTAATACTATATATAGATGATATATTACTATATATTTGTGTCCACATTGCAGCGTCTCATATACTAGCACTTTGGTTTTCTAAGGCCAATATGAACGAACGGCGGGTGACATTGGTTCACTGTGTACTTCCACCTAACTTTTCATAGGGTACTTTGTACTACTACAGTATACGTAGGTACACTTACTTGTAATTTCACCTTGTCGCAGTCAACACTAAGTTGGACAAATGCCCAAAGAGTAGCAATACCGTTACCTGGTACTTGAAGTATTATAATAGTACTATAGTTGGCATTGTTGTGGTTTTACTTAGCATAGGTCGTCTACAGTAGCTATAATTTGATTCTAAATTGTTCTTTTCAACCTATTAAAGAATATTGCCCATAAATAATAGTACTCTTAATACTCGTATTGTTGGAGCGGTTATATTTGGCAATGTGCCCGTCGAGCTAAAGGTCCGACGACTACAGTGCGTCTGTACGAGCACTAACTACTACAGTAGTATGTAGCCATATCAAACAAGTCCATATCGAAATCGTCGTCTGCTGCAAACACACAATCGCGGTAGTACCTCGGCAACTACTACTAGTACTACTACTCCTCAAACAGCACAAGTTGATTATACATAAACGAGCGTACTATGTCTCTGGGTCGACGATGTTTTCGAGCGTTACGCGCACCGTGTACATATCGTTGTCGATGTCGACCACTCCATTACCGTACAGCATTTGCACGTGGGCCCCCCAGTCCACCCGCGACAGCGGCGCTCTTCGTCCACATTGCACGGTGTATGCGCGCTGCAATGAGCCCACGAGCCCAGTCTTATCGATCGTCGACATGAGCACGTACAGCACCATCTAATCACACACAAGCATCCATATCATCAGCTCACAATAAAAATATGAACGAAAACCAGATATAGACGTAGTATTATTATTATTGTTTATTTTTATACTTCTAAACTGGAGAGATCGACATATCGAATCAACACAACCCAATATGACACAAAGTAGCCAATCAAATTGCACGACGTCATCATCATCCACGTCGAATTAGTGTGTGATTTTAATTCGTGTGATTCCAATCGCCACAGGATTCCCCGTTTTACATACAAACTTCAAGACAATGAACCGATTGATCGATATATAGATTTCGCGAGAAGCAGCGTAAAAGTCTACATGTTGGGGTACCTGTGTCGTTGGAGGCAACGCCCACATCAACTGGTCGCGGTAGTGTGTCAGGCACGCAGACGTGGCCGTAACCATCACTTCCACCGTCACTGGCACATGGTCTTGGCGGCGCTGCATGAGGAGGATCGCCAACACGCAAATGTCCAGCGTGACTTGGGCATCGCCCGAGATCTCAGCAACTTGCTGCGCCACGAACTCGATGGCGGCGTCGTCGACGACCGAGTTGTCCGCGAGCCGCTGGTTGAGAATCCATCGCAGCGCATCCTTGGAGTATGGGGCACACGCAATGGAAGCGACTTCGTCTACACCGCCAGTAAATCACACATAACATGGACACGTGGCAGCAGCTGAACCAATCAACAAAATTCAGAAGAAGGGATGGTCATATCCCACGTTTTGCCCAATTCACATTTCAAACAATTCAAAAGTATTTCCAAGAATTTGGCTGTCATCTATTGATCCAACAGATTTTGAAAGAAACTCAGTTCTTGCCAAACTTTTAGAAAAAAAAGTCTCTTTTTTGATGTTTTGGCGAAATATTGAATTCTCCAAATAATGTTGGATATATCCAGACAGATAAGTTTTCACTGATTTCAAAGAAATGGCCAAAATATCAAAGATTTTGGCCTTTGTTTTTTGACCTCCAGAATTACCCTAAATGTTGATCTATCATACAAAGCACACATACACACGTACTAGTTGGATGGCGCTGCAAGTACGCTTGGCTTCGCTTGACAGAGTTGGTCACGAACACAAAGATGAGGCTGGAGAGCGGACGATGGGCCATACGAATCAACTCATCCAAGACACTTTGGTCATTGTCGGCGTCGGTTAGCAGTGCATCTGCGTTATCCACAACCAAGAACCTAACAAATACATGTCAGCATTGGCCTTAACAGCAATCTAAAAAGTAAATTGAACGGGGGGGGGAGTCGTGTTCGTACGTGAGCCAACTGGGATCTCGACACGTTTCTTCTAGCGCACTCATGGCGTCGGCGTCGCTTGCATACTGCACATTCGTCATCTCGTTGGCCAATTCAACGAACAGGCTGCTGGTACGGGGCACGGACGCAGACATGTCCACATGCCGAGGCCGGAGCTGGCGACCGCGGCCGGCGCATTCCGCGGCGACTTGCTCTTCCAGCAATGCTACCAACGCCGACTTGCCGGTTCCCCTGGGCCCTGACACGCACACACTTCCGCATCCGACGGCAAAAGACCGAGCCACAAACGCCATCGCCGCCTGCCACTGGACGTCGCGACCAACGAGCGATTTGAGGCGGTAGCGCGGACTGAGGGCATCCAGGGCACTCGTCCGCTGGGCCTCAAAAGACTGAGCTGCGTCAAGTGTTGCTGGAGCAGTAGTAGTAGTACTACTAGTACAGCTTCCCACCACCACCACGTGGGATGGACTTGTTTGAAACTGTGGCCTCGTGTTGTTGTCTGCAGTCACATGTTCAAATATTAGAAATCATCATTATATGATATAAACGAATATACAAGGAAATACATGCATGATACAGAATGATGGTGAATTCGATATAGAAACGTCCAAAGTTCGCCGCGTGGTTTGTCTAATCCATATGGAATCAAGCTGGAGTTCTGATTGGTTGAATATCCTTGTCCTTAAGAGCCAATCAAATCCACTCAAAAATAGAATTCACCAATAGCGTCGATGATATGATCGTGATTCGATATGGGGTCTGGAAATAAATTTGGACCGAATACTATTGTCGATTTGATATACAAATTTGGGGAGGGGGTGCAATCGACCAAACCGATCCACAATCGATCTGATTGGTTGAATTTCATTGAGAAATGGGTTTTGATTGGCTAATAAGTTTGAGCTCATCTGAGGTAGCCAATCAAATCGATTTAAATTCCAACGAGAAACCACGCCACAATGAAATTTCACTCGAAAGCACAATACAAGCATACTCATTTTTAAAGTAGAAGTTGTAGGAGATATTTCAACAGATTCAGACGCAACCATGATATATTCGGTCAACACCAAACGCACCACAAGCGGAAGGCGCCATCGCCGCGTCGGACTCGTGGGCAACAGCCACAGACTTGGACTCAAGTGCCAAGGGGGGTATGGGGGCGCTGCTGCTGCTGCTTACTTCGAGTACCGACCCCTCAAAGGCTTGATCACAATCACCATGCGAAACATCGGACGACGGCATTAATGGCTAACAAAGCCAAGGCGTTCATTAGCCACGACAATCAACACAGGTACATACATCGTTGAATTTAGCAATTCAAAGCTGGCAAATAGATGGGTGTGTGTACCTCGTTTTCTGCTGTAGCCACGTCGTCGAGGACGTCGTGGAGCGAGATAAACTCGCCGTCCATAAACAAATCGTGCAGACTTGACGAGTTGTTCGGTGGCGTAGTCAAAGGGCTGCTGCCCTTCTTGGCCAAGTGATCATCAGGAAGATCCCTCGACAGATGCTCCGTCGCTTGCGTTTCATTGTCTTGCTGCGTGTTTGCCCATACAAAATACATACATTTAGTTCCGAAAATAGACATTGGATAGAAAGCGTACTGCCTTGTCCGTAGGGGCGTCGACGGACGTGGCGTCCAAATTGCACGGTGGCAACAAGGCGGGTTCGTCGATCGCATCTAGCAATGATGCGGGTGATTCCGTACATGAAATGATACTCTGTGACATCGTTTCATCGACTTGCACGTCATCGCCGGCCACATTTGGAAAACATTCCTGGTCAAATCGTTAGCCTCATAACTACTTTTTGGGTTTAAACTGGAGCGATATGGAGAATCAATGCATCGACACAATCAAATAAAGTGCACAAGAGTCATCGGTAGAAGGATTTATTTAGCCAATCCGATTGCAGGAAACCATCAAAACAACGTCAAATGTGACTTTAATTAGTGTGATACCTATATTGTCGATTTGATACAGATTTGGGGAGGGGATGCAATCAAATCGCGCCGACCAAACCGATCCACAATCGATCTGATTGGTTGTTGAATTTCATTGAGAAGGTTTTGATTGGCTAATAATTGAGCTCAACTGAAGTAGCCAATCAAATCGATTTAAATTCCAACGAGAAACCACGCCACAACACAATGAAATTTCACTCGAAAGCACAATATGTACAAAATATTATATCAGTACATCGATCGATAGATTTGGCGAGTCAAAAGTCCATATTTTGGTGTAAAAGGACAATATGGCATGTATTCGTTCAACACATACCTCGTTGTTGCATGGTTCCGGTAGCACTATCATCTCGACTTGAGCAGGTTCACTCGACCTGTCTTCATGTACAAGAGTCGACAGTTCAACGCGATGTTCGTCGCCTTCCAATGTACTTGCGACGGTAGTTTGTGGTGCTAGCTCGTCAGACTCTCCAGTCATTCTGGCCTTGGTTTCTTCGCCCATGTTGTCGTCATTGCGGTCAGCAGGCCGCTGCCGCCGCCGCCGCTTGCGACCTGGCATCACAACTGGTTCAGCAGAAGTTGCATGTTGGCCGTCGAGTGGCGCGTGGAATTCGACCTCGCCGTCCGCCAGTCGTTTGCGCGTCCATCCTTTGGCCTTGAGCTGCGCCCACACGTCGTCGCAGCTGTCGTCGTCCACCACGCGATGTCGCTGGGATCGCTTTCGCTGGACCAATTGTTCGATGCGGTCCCACTCCCCCGAAGCCCGCACGTACGCTTCGACGTCTGCGGAGCTAAAGAACTCGGTCGGTTCATTCAAGTCGTCTGTCGGGGGCTTGCAGTACGAGTACCCCAACGTGCTCGGTCGACGGGTCCACCCTAGCTTGGTCAGCTCTTGAAACACAGCGGCAAACTGTGCTTTCGAAGACGACGTCTTGTGTCCATGTGATCTCAATGTGGGTGCAGGACAAAGCGCGGCGGTGGCGGGGAGGGGGGGTGCACGGCTGGAGCTGGGTGGTTGGGGTGCAGCAGTAGGCACCGACTCGGCTTCCACGACGGTATCGGATGCCAGGACGTGGCGAACGGATGCTTCCAGCGCCGGCGTGCCCCGAACGTACTCGACCAACGACGTCGATCCAATGAAGAAGTCGACGCCGTGGACGCCCGAGCACGACGCGACCTTTAGCCGTCCGCCGGCGAACACAACCACGTGTGGCTTGCAGTACACTGTGCCAAGACTCCCTTCAAACGACTTCCAACCGAGCTGGTGCAGGCCGTCCTCAATCTCCCCAAGCACGAGCTTCGGGCGAGGCTGTGCCTTCTTCTTCTTCGTTTTTGCCGTCATGGGCATGGCAGGTCGAGGTGGCCTTGTGATCGTCCGAGCCCGATCGATTGGGGAGTTGCTGGTCAGGGCTGCTGTTGCCACGTCACGCATGAGCCCAGATGTCCCGAGGTAGCGTCGCAGGCCGACGTCAGTGTGAATTGGACTGGTCAGAGTGGGATGCATGTACGACCATGTCCTAGCGGAAGTTTCCTGGCGCGTCCACTGCCAGGTCTCCAGGACACGCCAGATCGCCTCCATGGGAATTTCATTCGGCGAGAGACTGGCGTCGTTCGAGTCGAGGGTACAAGTCGACGGTGTGTTAGCATCGTTGATGCCAACAGGACTTGGAAGAACGGTCGGCATGGCTGCTTGAGGGGATGATGCAGCATGTCCATCTTGAGCGAAGCTGCTCTTCAATGCAACGGATTCGGGAAAGATACTGCACAGATACTTCAGCGTGGCCCCGCGCTGGGTTTCAAACATGGTGACGTTCGGAACGAGGTGTGCCAGGTTCTCCACCCTAGGGCTGCAATACCACGTCGCTTGTGCAGACAGCATGATGCGCGAGACACACTTTGCAGAGATCAAGAACGCCGACACAATGTCCCATATCGCAACAGCATTAGGGGTGTTGGGAGGATTCGTGAGTTCCAACGCAAGCACAAGGGCTGGTCGCTTGCGTTCAAACACGTTGACGGTCATTTTGAAGTTCATGAGGTCTGCATCGGGTGCCAAGTACAGCTGACCATGGCTGTACTTCGTCTTGCTCCATCCTTCCACTTCCAATGAGCTCCAAATGGCATCAAACAGGCCATCCACAACAGCCGCCGCATCGTCGTCGACGGCCGCCATGATCGTTGTGAAACAGAATGTATGTTGTCCTTTTTATATAATATTTGAAGTGAAAATTCTTCAAGGCGAAAAAGCTGAGGCACAGTATACTATACATTGTTTCATATACATTTCAACCCGAACACACCATACAGTGTGTAGTATACCTCAATTTTGACCGTTGAAGCAATACTTCGGACATTGCTTCAACTATTAATATTATACTCCGGAGTAATAATAAGCAAAAATATATAAACTAATACTCGTAATATACTTATACTTTCTACACATCGTATCTCCGGTTGTACTGTGTACTCCGGAGTAGCTACTAACGTTAGTAGTAGTATATACTAATTAAGTAGGCGTCGTCGTTAACTTGTACTAATACCAGCAAGTGGATTATCGAAGCGCATTGAAGAACGAATCGGCAGCAAAAAACTTTGCGGCGCGCTCGGGGCTTCCAAACAGTTTGAACGTGGTCTTGTCCTTCTTGAACTCGACGAGGCCGTCCGCGGCGAGGGTGTCGAGCTTTTGGTTGAATTCGCCCACGGAGAGCAGCTGGGACAAGTTCATGCTCCGTCGGACCAGTTCGCAGTATTTGTCGTACGCGGCGCTAGTGTTGTACACACCCGGTCGATCGGCTTTGATTTGCAACGCCGCAAAGAGCACCAGCTAGTTGTCATATACAAGTTATATATATATATATATATATATATTCCCATCAACATGATGCAGGTAAAATCCGTGGGGACTTTGGACAATAAGTAGTATGATCAAGTCGATTCAAAAGTGGAGGGGCGGGGTGCTCAATCGAATGAGTATGTAGGCACTAGGAAAAAATCGAATTCCTGGTGAATTATTTACCAATTCGACAGACAATCGACCGACCAATCAATCAAACCCCAAAACACAATTCAAGTAGCCAATCATATTGTCAAGAGTCGATTCGAAATTGGAGTGTTTGGGTGGTCAATCGACTATTGTACAGCAGCACCAAAGCGGCAGAGAATCGACATATCGACCAATCAAAACACAAGACATGAATCAACTAGCCAATCAAATTAACTCTTTGAATAATCCAACATCGAATTAGTGTGTGATTGAAATTCGTGTGTGATACGGGACGATCTTTACATGCAAAAGTCAGTACAAAGAAGAATCGATCGATAGATTTGGCAAAGAATCAACACAAAAGTAGTCCAAATATTACAATATTCTCGCTTGAACCTTACATCATCGACGTCGTGTGTGGGTGACTTCAAGTATTCGTGCGAAACTTGTCAATTTTTACATACAAAAAGTCCGTACAAACAATCTGGGATCGATGGATTTGACGAGTGAACACACAAATGAATCCTAATTTTGGCTGAAAAGGGGGACAATAAGTAGTACCTGGGTCATGCGAGGCAACGACTGCCAGTGCGACGCGGTCGGCGCGTTCATGTTGGTCTTCATCACTTGCACCATGTCCTGGAGCGTGACAGGAACGTGGCAGTCATTGGCTTGGTGGGCCAACAAGCTTGCTTTGCAAATGCTCAGGCAGGTTCGAATGTCACCCGACGTGGACGCCATTTTGCGTGCCAAGTACGACATCGCCATGACATCCACGACGGGTTTCGGCGTGAGCGACCCCACGACCACACGTTGCTTGAGGATATCGAAGATCGCATCGAACGAGTACGGGGCAAACACGACCGAGACCGGTTTGCAGTCGTGGCTTTTCAGCAGGGGCAGGCAGCGTTCAGTCAAGTCGATCGAGTTGGCAATACCCACAAAAATCACCGACGAGAACGGATGGTGGGCCCATTCAAACAGCTGGTACAAGTCCCGCTCGCCCTTGCCTTGCAGGAGCACGTCGATCTCATCCAAAATCAAAAACCTGCACATACACGAATAACACTCGTAAGTGCATGGTTGATATATATTCGTAACAATCAAGAAAGAACGAAGAGGTACGTACGTTGTCGTGTGCGTCGACTTGAACGCCAAGCTCAGCGCATCGGTGGCTTGCTCGGCAGTAGAACATTCCTTGTTCGTTACTTGCGCTGCAATGGCCTTGTACACGCTGGTCGCGTCGCCCAACGACATGGCGTTGAGGTTGATCACTTGAAGGGATGTCTTGCACGCTGTCCACGCGGTTGCAACGTGCTGTTCCATCGCCTTCATGAGCGCCGACTTGCCGCTGCCAGGAGCTCCCGACACAAACATACTCTTTCGTTGGCCAGTGGTGATGCACGTGTCGACAAAGTTCACCAGGGCCTGCCATTCCGGTGCTCGGTGAAGGAGGGGGGCGGCGTCGGTTGTAAACCCAGGGCCAAGGTTGTGCAGTACACGTTCCATTTCGACGCGAAACAGACGCTTCTTGGACGGAGAGGTGGGAGGGACATCGACGCCCTTGGACGACGACGTCGCATCCGACGGCGACGGTGTAAAGTCCTGCTGCACGTTACGGGCCACGACTTTATCGGTTTTCACGGTGGATTCTACGGCCAAAGTTCGAGTTTTGTTATAAGCTATACGACCTCGAACAAGGGACATAGGAAGGTAGGTACCTTCTGGGGATAAAAAATAGGTCGACTCAGACGCTGCAGCGGCGGTGGCCGCAGGGCGAAACCCAGGAGTCTACCCACGAGAGATGAATATGCCAAATGTTCTACAACACATGTACCGATATCGATAATATATATATACCTCGAGGGGGGACGGGTGAGCTGGATCAATGGGGTCCTTGTCGGCTTCAGACATGCCCCCGTTATCGTCATTGTCGAGGTGGCCTTCGTCGTTTTGCATGTCGTCGCTGTCGCTCGAGTCATTTAGTTCCACCACGTCCGTCTTCTTGTGCTCCGCGATGAGCGCTTCGACGTCGTGCAATTGCAGCTCTTCCTTTTTGAAGCGTGTGCCGTTGGGGCTGCTGTACATGTACACGCCTTCCATGTCATTGGGGGCAATTTTGGTCCACCCGTTGTCCTCCAAGCGGCGCCACATGCGGCAAAACAGGCCAACGGGAGGGGGGCTGGCCACAGCGGTGCTACCGTCAGGGCTGGCCACGTCGGACGACGAAGACATGGACGAAGGGGACGACAGCCTAGCTTGAGCGCGTTCGTGCTGGAGAACGAGGTAATCGGCGATCTTGTTCCACTCGCCAGTGTGCTTGAGGTGGGCTTCCATGTCGGCCTCGCTGTGGTAAAACGTTTCATTGAGCTTTTTGTTGGCGGCAGTCGTGTTGGGGCGATAGTAATCGTAGCCAAACATACCCACGCGATGCGTCCATCCTTTCTGCTGGAGGATCTTGTACACGTTGGCAAACTGGACTTTGAACTCGGGAACGCCATGGTGGTGATGGTGGTCTTCGTCCAGCAACCATTTCGACGGCTTGATGGTTCGTGTAGAAGATCCAGCGTCCTTTTTCCGCACCACGACCATGTCTTCTTCATCGAAGTCAACCGGCGGCGCCTTCTTGGACTTGGGCTTTCGCTGTTGGTGTGCTTGAACTTCGACTGGCTTGGTTGTATGACCCACCAGGACCTTTGTCACCAACTCTTCGTCGCTCGACATGTCAAACACGTCCGGGCTTGGTTGGACGGGCGTGCCATGGATGGCGCCATAAATGACCCTCATCAAGTCGTTGTTGGCGCGCACGTAACACTCGAACGCTTCCTTGGTGCTAAAGTAATCGACGTTTTCCTTGCCCGACAGAGTCTTGCCCTTGTTGCCCACCACCACGTGCGGCTTGCAATACACGTACCCCATGCTGCCAGACACCCACTTCCACCCCGAATCTTTGAGCACGCGCTCGATTTGTCCAAAGCTCACCACGTCGAAGCGCGCGTTCCTTGCGCTCTTGGCTTCGAGTCGGCGGGACCCGTCGTTGTGCTTCTTGGGGGTAGAGTACGACAGACGCTTCTTTGGCTGGAGGGTCTTGGCCTTGCGAAGCCCCTTAGTTGGCACGACTTGGTGGACCAAGTCGTCGTATTCTTCTCCTGGTTGGTTGGTTTTGGTGGTTTGCTTCTTGGCGGTCGTGTGGGATGCTACGTCGTTGGTCGCATTCAGGAGCACGTTCAAGCTGCTGTTTTCCTTGTTTTGGTCTGGGGTCGGGGCTCCATGCAGCTTGATCAAACGATCAACTTCGCCCACCATATCGGTCGCGACCAAGTACTCCATGACGCTTTCCTCGGTCTCAAACACAAGGCCGTCAGGGGAACGAAAGTCAAACCCGAACTTGCCACCCTTGTACGTCCACGAGTAATCTTTCGACAGGATGTCCCATACCAACCCCCACGGATACGCCGACGACGCTACCCGTCGGGGATTGGTCGTCGCCGCTTTCTCTACGTATACAGGTGCACGCACCGGCTGGAGGGGCATCTTGCGCTTCAGCGTTCGCCGCGGCGCGACGGCAGGCTCTGTCATTCTTTGGTCGTCGAGCACCACTGTAGTCTCGTTGTTCGTCGTCGGGTGCGTTGGTGCTACGGGCGAAGGTGGCAACAGAACACGCTTGGGCTTCTTCTTCGGGGTCGAGTCTGGAATGCGACGAGAGAACTGCAGCACCGCGTCCTTCTTCGTGGAAAACATGGTCTCCCCGGGAACGAGTTGGCTCAAGTCGTCGACTAGCGGGGTCAAGAAGCACGGGATCCTCTGCATAAGCATCATGCGGGACTGCTTGCGCTGTTCCATTTGGGTCCACACGGCATCCCACAACGCGTCGCTCGTGGGGCAGCTGGTGGATGCATAATACTCGATCGCTTTCTTCAAAGCCAGCCTCTTGGATTGCAGCACGGTTTTCCCAACTTCGAAGGTTGAAAAGTCCACGGACGGAATGGAATACGCCAGCTTGTCGTTAAAATTCAGCACGCCCCACCCGTCGGCTTCGAGCATGTACCACAGCGACTCGAAGATCTCGTTCCAGTCGACGGTGTTGTCCTCTTCATCGTCGCCGGGCAATGCGTAGGACGAATCTTGAATAATGAATCGAACAAGAGCTTCCATCGCGCGCAACTTTGACGTGGCATCGGCGAATTCACGAGCTTCCTTGAACGCCAGCGCCAGCAACGGGTCCACATTATCGACAGAAGGCGTGAATGCGGACAAACTGGCGCGAGCCCTTGGCATGATGGCAATGTGGAGAACATCCTCTGGCCGAGTGACTGGTTGGCCGCTGCACCGGCCAAAGTAGAAGAGCACGCAGTCCTCAACGTCCAGCACGGGCTTCAGATTCTCGAGCGGTGTCACATCCACCATCCAGTCGCGAGCGCTCTGGTAGCTGTCGAAGACGAGGGCGGGCCACTTAGCATTGCCGCAGATCCCGTCGACGGTCGTCGCCATCTGCAGCATCGTCGACCATTCCCTGGACATGCCTAAACTTGTGAAATGACACGGGAATCATACGCGCGCAAATACACCCCGTAAAGTGCGTAATTGTGCTCATTAAAGTACGTTTGTCCAAGTCTCCCGCCAAGATTCTCATACAAATGCATAGCTTATGATTCGTGCTCGCTTAAGTACGATATAGAAAGGACGTAAGATTGGCCAATTAGTTTTGATGAATTCACAGTCAGTTGAAGCGTGGACTTTGGACACTTCGGACACGTGAAATATTCACAACCACACTGCATGTACATATCCACCAAACTTGCATTTGCTAGAGGGTACTAATACTATGTTGTACTGTATTTTGATTTGTTTGTGCTTTATGCTTGTCTTTTGCTGCACCGATAGCACGAACACTTCAACGGCCCACAACTGTCGAAACTGTCAGTCCATAACCGTCCACGGTGCATCCTTTGATGGCGGCAACTCCGTCCTTGCCGTCGCGCCCCCTCATCGACATCGTGGTCAAAGTCCGACGGCCATGGTGGCATCACATTATCAACGTCGCGGGAGTCGTGTACATGCTATGCACGGTGTCCTTGAGTGTGTTTGTATGGACAATCTTCGGCACGTACATGGCGAACGATATCTTTTTGCCTCACTTCCGAGACGCCGGGATGCAAAGTGCCCTCATCGACCTGTTCAACACGGCGCTCGTCACCGCCAACACGTCATGGTTTGACATCACGGATCCAGTTTTTGCCATTCAAAAGTCGTACGAGGGTACATCCACGGCGCCCCAGCCCGTCTTCCCCACGTACCCTCGAAGCCTCTTGTTCAGTGGCAAGCAATCGTTGGAGGCATCCGTCCTCAGTCTGCGAGATCTCCAACTCGACGACCTCGGGTACTTCACTTGCATGTATTGCTGGATGGACTTTAAACGGCAGTGGGAACTCGCGCACAGCGAACAACGGCAGCAGCGGTGCCTGCTGCAAAAGAAGCGCAACGCGGCCATGTATTTTGAAGCGTTGATGCGAAACACCGACTTTGTCGGCATGGAGTTACTCAGCCAAGGCGCGTTTGACATTGCGTACTTCAACGAGATCTCCAAGACGGCGATTGGGGCCGCGTGGGTGTACTACATTCGAGCGCATTCGTGGGTGTCCGTGGCCGAGGAAGTGCGTGTGTGGACACAGTACAACCTGAATCAATTCACAATGCAGTGGGCCAACCAAGTGCAGTCAGGCGTCGAAGAATCCGTCTCGATCACCAACGCCGTCGGGTTTGTCAGTTACTTGCGCATCAAAAGCATGCCCAAGCGAGCGCTGTCGGTGCTGAGTTCGTCCGGCACCCTCACAAGCACGCCCACCAACGACTACACGGCCATGCTAGAATCGCAGAGTTCCCTTGTGCGCAGCAGCGTTGTGTTCTTTGCCCTACACAACACGAGCAACAACAACCCCCACGCCAACTTGATTGATACGTACTTGGGCCCCCCCGTGAACGCCGTCACCAGGGCCATTCGAGCGCAATGGGGGCCCTTTGGGAACTTTGACCTAGAATACGTGGCGCCGCCAGGGAGCCTCACTGTGTTTGTGCAACACTTCGGCGCCGCCTTCGTCGCGTTCATTCGAAACGTCCCCCTCATCGATACAAAGCCAGCCAGCTGCACCACGACCTCCCTGCACCCCACGCCGCGGAAATGGACCAACACGTCGCTCGTGTTTTACGGAGGCGACCCGTTGTGTTTGAACGGCCAGCCCCAGCCATTCATTCAAGAATCGTTTGGGTTTGACAGCGCGTGCACCCATCAAAACCCGTTTTCCATCGACTGGTCAGTTCCCAAGATTCTGTTTGCCATGGCCATCTTGGGGCAACAAACGGTGTCGAGTATGTGTACGTTGGTGCCACAAGATGAAAAAGCGTCGTGCGGTGACATGCTCGGCACAGCTCTGGGTGCAAACGCTGCCTTCCAGGCGTTTGTACATACCGACGAGATCCCAACAGTCATTCGCGACATCGTTGCGCTCGAGGTTTCAACCGTTCAGTTCGTCGGTCGAGCGGGACGTGACATCACGATCGAATCGCAGGCGCTGCATGACCCCTCGGACAAGGCGTGGAGTGTGTTTGGCTGGATGAGCCTGTTCGAGTGGGCGCGGGGGGAGCGCGAAGTCGTGACGTTTCAAAACGATTTCCGCGACTTGACGTTGATGTCGCACGTGTATCGGTCGCAGTACATCCACTCAAATCCAAACGACGTTGGCTACAAACTTGGCGTGACGCTGCTGGTGGCGTCGGCCATTGTGCCGGGGGCGTTGTGCATTGTGATGGTCCTGGTGTTGTGGGTGTGGTTACGGCGCCAGCGGCGGTTTGTTGGCCGCAACTGGTTTGTGTTCAATCGGGTCGCGGGGACCGTGTGGATTGGTCGGCCGTTGCTCGTGATTCGGGGGGTTGTGGCCATGATGTGCCTCGCAACCGCCCCGGTCCAGCTCGTCGGCGACGGCACCACCAGTCATTTTGAACTCGTGCCTCGAACCGTTTTGCAGTCGTTGGTGCTGGCAGGGGAAGCCACGTGGATCACGTACGTTTTATACGACTTGATTTACCCCATCGCCGCCCGCGCGTCGGTTCAGCGGTACGCCCCCCTGAGCAGTATCCTCGCATGGATCATTACATTTGGGTTGGACTACTGGGTCCCCCCGACGGTCACGGCGACCATCGACCGACAGTGCGTCTTCTCGTCGATCGGAACCCAAATCGCTTGCTCGGCGGGGTCCGTCCAAGTGGGCAGCAAGTCCCAAATGATGCTGATTTGGACTGTCCAGATCTCCACCGTCGTCGTTTGCGCCGTCTTGGGCCAACTAAGCCGGGCGAACGTCAAGGACGCCGCGTCGTCGTCCCCGACGCTCATCCTTCCGGGCGCGGCGATGACGTTCATGCATCAAAACACCCAAGTGCTCGGGTGTTGGTGCTTGGACGACGCCAGCGCCGTCATGAGTGGCATGGTGTACTTTCACTTGAACCACCGGGCGTACGTGGCCGACGTGACGCTGTGGCTCGTGCTGGATTGCTCCATGTACGACATCCGACGACTGGACCACGCCATCTTGTTTCCGCACTCGTTTGAACGGTCGTTGGCGTCGAGCATTTGCAAATCGGACAATCGGGTTGGCGTGGACGACGCGCCGGCGCGGTATGCCCGCGTGCCGTTCACGTCGCGTCTGTCGTTTGTTCGGAAACCCAACCGGTTGACGGCCAAGCACCCTGGTCGGCGATACACGGACGACGGGGCGTCTCCTCGGGACAGCAGCAGCAGTGCGCTCTTAATCCACCGATTCGGCCCCGATGTGGCCATTGCTATTGGGTTTGGCATGATCATGCTGTCGTTGGTGACTAACGTCATCTACATGCTTGTGACCGCGCCGCAATCGATGGCCAACGACTACTACTGGGCCAGCTTTAACAGCACCGGCACGCATGCGTTCCTGATCCAGTTGTTCAACCGCCAATTGTTGGACGTGAACGCGAACAAGGTCGTGCGGGTGGACACCCCTGGGTACGCAGACTTGACGCAATTGTACAACGAATCGACCAGCGTGTTGCTCTCTGGGGGCGTGACACCCAAGCAACACCTCTACGGCTTCCACTCGACCCTGGACCAAGTGATCGTGGACCTACGAGCGATGGACCCGTGCATGATGCCGTGGATGTTTACGCAATACTGCTGGGTCGATTTCACCAAGCGGTGGGAAATGGCCAGCACGGCCGCCAGGCAACGGCGCTGCGACGGATCCAACGGTGCCATGTTCCTCGAGGGGGTGCTACGGAATCTACGCAGTTGGGACAATTGGCGTTCGTGCTGGGGCGATTCGTTTGAGATTGCACTTGCCCGACCGCTCCGTCAACACGTGGCTGGCCGGCAATGGCTCGAGGATGTGCAAGGGGGGTGGCGGCCGGTCCCCGATGAAGTGGCGGCGTGGGCATCGCATGCGATCACGCGGTTCACGTTGCAATGGCAGGACTTCAAATCGCTCGGGTTTTCCAATTCGTTTCAGGTGGAAAACACCCTAGGGGCACAGTACGAGCTCAGCATGAGCAACAACGCCGGCGCGTGGCGACAGCACCTTCAGTCGACGTTCAAAATGTACTGGGGGTTTGCCTCCGATTTGTGGGCCGTGGCGTCCAATGACACTAGTGTGTGCGGCCTGAGTCTAATTCGAGGCGCGACTGACTTTGCCTTTTCCAACATCTCGAGGGAGGAGCTGCTCGTGGCCAACACGACCATTCCTAACGTCCTGCCCAGCGGCCTGCAGAACCTTCGCGACTTGCTTGGGCCGTTTGGCAACGTCGACATGACATTCGAGTCGCCGCCAGCTGTGCTGACCCAATTTTACCACGCACTCATGAGTAACCTGTCCAACTTGACATTTACGGATGTCCAGGCGCAGCGGTCGTTCTTGGCCCTGCCAGCGAAGATCTACTATAGTCCGTTCCCGCCCCAAATTGCGATGTACAACGCCGTCGTGACACTGCAGGGGGGAAACCTCTTGTGCGGCAATGACATGCCAGACTTGGCTGGGGCAATCGACAGGCAAAGCTCCATGTACTCGGCCTTTAGCACAGACAACACGTGCAGCTTGGGCAACATGCAAAACGGCCGGCCCGACGAATTCCAGACGTTGTTTGCGGTCGTGGGCACGTCGTTCAACCACAACATGACGGACGAGTACATTGCTCAGACGTGTGTGTGGGATGCGTGGCCGATGGCCAACTGCGCCGACGTGTACGCGAGTGTGTTGGCGTTTGCAACTTCCCATAACGCGACGTTTGGCCCGCTTCGGGCGCTGGCACAAGCTACGCACGTGCAGATCACTTCAATGAACATCATGTTTGTGCAGTTTATTGTCAACCACACGGAGCCATCGTTATTTCAAGTCAACATTTTGGACCCGACCAACGCCGTGTGGCAGTTCACAGGGTGGCGGTTTCTGTACGACTGGGTGACCGGGTCCCGCGAAGTGGTGACGTTTCAAGGCGACGCCGGCGCCATCTCGACCATGTCCGACCAGTACGCGCAGCACTCGATGAGTCCCAACGCGTCGGAAATCCCCCGTGATGTGTCGTTTGTCCTCTTGGTCGTGTGTCAGTACGTGACCGTTCTCTTCGTCACCATGGGGGGGCTCATCGCGCTCTACACGGTGACCACAAGGGGGCACATCAAGGGCGGTAACCTGCTGAAAATGAGTCGCATCGTCGGGCTCGTGTGGGCCGGCCGCGTGTTCCTGTTCATCCGCAGCGTCACAGCCATGATCTGCCTCCACACGGCTCGGTTAGACCTGGTGCAACACGGCCATGCCACGTCCTTCGTGTCGCCCCCGCTCGCGTGGACCGACCTCATGCTCGCCGCGTTGGAATTGCACTGGTTTGTGTACATCCTCAACGACACGTTCACGTTTGTCACGCAACATTACACCAAGTACTACGCAAGCCACAGCGCGTGGCTGGCGTGGCTAGTTACCGTGATTTGGTCCCAGCTCGAGCCGAATCAACATGCGGTCCGCGTCCGCCGAACGTGCACCGCCGTGGACATGGACTTTGAGCTTGTGTGCAGCAGCGGCGTCGTGGAAATCGGCAGCATCTCGCGGGTGGGGGTGTCCATCGCCATTTGTTTTGGCAGCGTCGTCGTGTGCTACGTGTGGCAGCTGCGCACCCGCCGCGAGAGCTCCATCTTGGACATCCCGTCGCTCATGCTGCCGTCGCAAGCCAAGTACTTGTTAGACTTTCACGAGTGGTGCTTTCACGACACGTACTTTATCGACCAGCCGTCCGCGCTCATGGCGGGCGTGATTTCCATCGAGTGGCGACGCCGCATGTACCTGTTTGACATTAAAAAGTGGCGCTTCTTCTCCGTCTCTGCCCTCGTCGTGCACCCGAGTGCCCCCCCCCGGTTCAAGTACGCCATCCCGATCTTGGAGTAAGGAACTTGAGGACCATGGGGTTGATGAACGGGGAAAGACTCCATCATCCCGTTCGTTCGTTCGTTCGATGAACTCTGCCCATGGATCGTTGTTGTCGTGGTGTAGTAGCGATTAACGTTAGCATATATAAATGAACGCGCGTTAGCAGTAAAGCTGACACCCCAAGATCGTCCAACTCTGACGGCAGTAATAGGTGGTGGCAAAGTCCGTACTTCTTGTGTATGCACTTACTTGCAAAGTGGAACATTGTAGGTACCGGTAGGTAGGTTAGGTACCTACTTTAGCATAGGCAAAATCACTGCCCATACACTTGGTGTACCAAGTGTAGTTATAATGCATGGGTTCATCACCATATGTACGATTGGATTACGAGTGTTACTATGACCACCACCCCCACGCGGTGTTCGAGCAAACTGACTTTGCCAACGCCTTACTGTATTGTGCATCGCCACGACGACGACGAAGGCTGTTCCTGTGGCTGCTGTGCATGCGAATTTTCCACATATTGGTCATTGCTGCTACTGCTGCTGCTGGCGGCTTTGTCGTCTTGCTGGCTGGACGGCGGCGCAGCAGCAGCTTCAGCCTCCACCAGCACCTCTGATGTCACATGCAGAGTCGATGGAGGGCATTCACGAGATGGTTGGGGGGGGGATGCACTACTGCGCCGAGGTTTCTTATTGGCCCCTCCGACGCCATTTGAAGCCAACGACGATGCCGCGGACGTCCGTTTCTTGGTCGCGGCAGGGCCACTGGTTTTTGTGGCTGTCGACGCCAGCAGACTTTTCTCATGTCCATCATCACGTGCTGCTGCAGCGTCGTGGTGACTGTCGCGCCTGTCAATCGTGTCGGTTTCAAGGCTGCGGCGGTGCGCTTTTTTCGGCAACAACAACGCGGGCGACGCCTTGTCCTTGACGGTTGCCTTCTTGGCTTTGGCCACGTGACCAGTGGACTTCGGCGTCTCGTCCTTCTTGGCTTTCGTCGAGCTGGCAGAAGGTGTGCTGGCCTTGGGGGTCGAGGGGATGGGCGTGGTGACGTTGGAGGTTGAAGATCTGGAATTCGACTCGTCGTCGGAAGAAGGCGCCAAGAGTTCGTCGCGAATCGACTTGAGCAAATGCGGGTGAGACCGCACGTACTGCTCGAGGTCGTCGCGGCCGTAAAAGAAGTCTTGACCCTCTTTGCCCGTGAACTTGGTCTTGCGACCGCTCACCTTGACATGCGGCTTGCAGTAGACAAAGCCTAGCGGTCCGTCCACGCACTTCCACCCGCGACCTGTGAGGATGTTGTCGATTTCGCCAAACCGAATGTTGTCGAGGTCGCGACAAAGGGGTGCCGACTCGATGGAATGCCGTTTGGACTTGGCGATACCCGAGTACGAGAGACGCTTCTTGGGCTTGAGTGGTTCGGGGGTGAGTAGCTCTTGGTGCGGATCGTTCAAATGCCCGCTGTCCAAGTCGCGACGCACCAGGTCCATCAGCGCGGGGGTACTGCGCACATGATCTTCGAAGGTTTCGAGGCTGTCAAAGTAATCAACGCCATGGACACCAGATAGCTTGCCCGTTGACTTCATGAGCTTGACACTCGGCTTGCAGTACGCCCCACCGAATGCCTTGCCTTCAATGTACTTCCACCCTGCCCTCTTCAGCGACTTTTCAATCTGGCGACGACCGATCTCGTCGTCTAACGATTCTTTGTCCACATGTAGCTTCATCTGTTGTGTCTTCTTGCCAGGCACGCGCGGCGTCACCACGGGCGAGTCAAGGATCTCTACCACGGCTGTCGTTGTCTCCATGCTGTTGTTGGTTGACATGGCGGCTTGCTTGTTAAATGTCCGATTCCTTTAAGTACGAATATCTCATATAAAGTACGAATGAACGATTTACTTCATAATTGCACAGTACCCCCCCACGCACTTACTGAGAGTACGGTCAATCGAATCTCAAACTGACGCCAATAGACCAATTAGATGGAGGGAATGAGGGCTATTGATTGAGAGACCAGGAATGGATTAAGATGGACAACATAGTGATAGCATGGTGGAAGAGCTGGGCTGGCTTGAGGACCTAATGTGGTCGAAGGTGAACTGACACTTGGTAGAACCCACCCACCACTCAGCCATTGGTGGAGGTCGAAAATTCGTCTGATTGGCTATAATGATATAATTTCAGCCAATCATGCTTGATAACCTTACGCTGGTTTGTGGTTCCATTCAAACCTCAGAAGAACTGAGGTTGTTGATCGGCGCGAACAGCAACATCGACGGCACCATGGTAAGAAATTCTCGGCCAACTTGATAGCGCTCCATGACGGCATGATCGTAATCCATCGTGTAGGAGCCCTCGCAGGATGATGTGAATCAAGTCGCTCCTCAAGCAGAGGCAGTGCTTGAACCGCCACCAGTCGATGGCGTGCAGCAACACTCACCTCCCGTGAACCAGTACCCTGCAGCGTCTGCGGCCTCGTCGTACCCGCCACCTCCTCAAAACAGAAGCCGCAGTCCGTATCGAGGTGGTGGCCGCAACCGGTCCAGATCGCGTAGCCCTCCCCGTCGACGGTCGCGCAGTCCGCCTTATCGGGGTCGCAGGAGGTCCTACGAGCGCGACGATCGTTTCCGCGGCCCTGGTGGCCCCGAGCAGTATCCACAACGTGTGGAGACGGAGGCGTTGGAATCGTACAAGGCGTTCATGATGCGCCAAGAGGACAACGTGGCCCCGGAAGTGTGCCTGCAACGGTACGCTGCACAGTTCTCGTTGCCAACACCCTTACCACACCTCTTGTTTTGGATGGCAGCTACGAAGACTACAAGAAGCGCGTGCTTGTCAAGTCGAGTCGGTCGTTCTTCGATCTGCACAAGATGGAGGAGTGGTTGCAGGAACGGTATTCTCCCGCCATTCGCCATCGCCACCAACAGCAAAAGCTGTCCAAGAAGCGAGCCGACGCCAAGGCCTTTGCCGATCGCGTCAAGACGACCCCGCTGTCGTTCGACGAAGCGGCGTGGGGCGACGACGCGCCTTCGTCGCAGCCACCGGCGTCCGACCTCGAGGACAGCGCCCGATTGTTGTACATCCGCCGCATTCCGTGCTCGTGTCCGTTCGCGGTGCTGTCGGAAGCCATTCACAATCAAGTAAATACACGACCGACATTCATTCATGCATCTATTTATGCTGTCTTCATCTATTTCATCTATGTTTTTATCTATTTCATCTATGCTTCGTCTATTGCATCGACTATTCTGCTCCATATGTTTTCATGACAATGCTCACACAAGATGGATGTTGCCAGGGAGCGTTCGACGACCTGCTCTTGTCCGACCCGTTGAAAAAGAAGGACATGGAGTACGAGCGGTCCGCGTACATCTTGTACCCCACGGCCGCCGCCGCCACCGCCGCCATGCCCAAGCTGCAAAACTTGCTCGTGGAGGCCCCGGAAATGCCCCATCCCCTTCGTTTGCAGGTTATTATGCTATATACTATTAACATTCGCACGCATGCTACTATAGTCGTTTTGCTGTGTATTTGACACATTCCATTTATTCACGTTTTTTATTATTATGTAATATATATATATTTGCAAATTTTTTTAAAAATTTGTTCAGGTCATGATCTACCGCATATATTATTCTATATACTATTAAACTCGCACTCATGCCACTATAGTCGTTTTGCTGTATTTGACACATTCCATTTATTCACGTTTTTTATTATTATGTGATATATATATATATAAATATATATATATTTGTAATTTTTTTAAAAATTTGTTCAGGTCATGATCTACCGCACCCGCGCACCACTCAAGACGCCGTCGTACATGTCGCTGCCCGACCGCATTGCGTTTGACTTTGACCAGGCTCTCTACTTGGCCAAGCTCCTGGACAAACAATCGTTTAGCAATGATGAAACAGTCGGGATCGAAGCCATCTTGGCTGACGTGGAGGCCGCGACGACAGCCCACCGCCTCGATGTGGTCATTGCGTACCTCCGCCGTGTCCACTACTTTATTTATTACGCAGGCGTCCAGTGCTTGGACATGGGCGACGTCATGCACGCGTACCCCGCCGTGTTTGTCCGTCCGGCCGCTACTGACAGAGACATTGACGATGACAAGGTCTGTTGTATATATATATATATATATCCATGCCCTTTGTCACTATATGTAATGTATTCATGCCCTTTGACTATATATATATATATATATTCTTATATATTTATATGTAATGTATTCATGCCCTTTGACTATATATATATATATATATATTTATATGTAATGTATTCATGCCCTTTGACTATATATATATATATTTGATATATATATCCATGTACTTTTATTTATTTATATATATTTTGTCGTGCCTGATTCTAGATTTATACTTGCGTATGTATATTATTTGTGCTCCAAGGTTTAGAGTACAGGTCAGAGGTATATAGTGAAGAATTGGATGGATCGTTTGTCCAAATGGATCTTGTATTGTACCCTTTTGCCCCAAACAATTGGACTTTTGTACTGATATGCCAGCCAAATCGATCGATCGATTCTTTGACGTTTGTATGTGAAAATGGTCCAGTGCCACACTAATTTAAGTCATACACTAATTCGAGGTGGCATTAGTCGAAGGGTGGATTTGATTGGCTACTTGATTCGTGTTGTGGGCTTTGATTGGTCGATCTTTGATTGTCTGCCTATGATTTGGTTATTCTGCTCATTCGATTGAGCAAACAACACCCCACGACTCCAATTTCGAAAATCAACATGGCAATATATATATATATATATATGGAACGTCGTCATTCCCTTGAAAAAGAGTCGAACTCACCTAACTCGTGTTTTCATAGACGGTAACCCACAAGGTGTTTTCGGACGGCGGCGCCACAGCTGGCAGTGGATGGGGCGCGTGGTCCGTGTCCCTGGACGAGCGGATCGCCGCGCATCTCAAGGCGAACGCGCCGAGTGTGGTGGAAGCCAAGCGCGCGGCCGAGCTGGCGATGGTCCACGACATCGAAGCGCGCGAAGAGGTGGCGCTCGAGCCCGTGTACCATTCGTACACGGAGAAGGCGGGCGACGACGGCAAGCACCGGTGCCTCCTCTGCACCAAACTGTTCAAGAGCGTCGAGTTTGTGAAAAAGCACATTCGAAACAAACACCCTGAGCTCGTGGTCGAGAAGATTGTTAGCGCCGGAGAAGGCTGCATGTGGGACGAGTACCGCGAAGACCCAGATCGACCCATGGACCCGATCGTGATGACCAACCAACCAGTGGTGCAGCTGCGGGGGGGTGCCGGGTACGACTCGCGCAGTCGGGACAGCAGCTACTATGGCCGTGGAGGAGGGGGAGGTACTACTGACAGACCAGTGCTTGTGCTTTTCGATGATATGTGGACTTGTTCAGTTGATTCGAGAATATTTCGATATTTGAGTCGTCAGATTTCAAGCTTCTAGATCTCCATGTATGGTGGTATTGTCCTTTTACGCAAAATTTGGACTACTTTTGTGCTGATTCGCCAAATCCATCGATCGATTATTCTTTGTACTGATATATTTTGGTTGTAAAAAGTGTCCTGTGGTGATTGGTATCACACCAATTGAAGTCACACACTAATTTGACGTTGAGGATGGTTGTTTCCTGCAATCTGATTGGCTAAACCCTTCTACCGATGACTCTTGTGTACATTTATTTGGTTGTGTATCGATTCTTTCTCCATGTCGCACCAGTTTAGAATAAACACAACAATATATATATATTTATAGATGAACATTTTCACGGGGCCAAACACTGTGGGGTCATCAAACGATACGAAAGAATCGATGATTGGTTGAAATTTCTCGTCCGTGCAATTTGATTGGCCAAGTTATTCTCGACTACATTTGTCAAATATATTCATTCGATTCGAAAGTCCTTATATTATTGGAACGGATACACATACTTTGCAACTCAACTCACGCCGATTCCATTAGGAGGGTACCGACAAGCGCCTTCGTACTACGACAACGGCGGCGGGCCTCGGGGAGGAGGCTACCGCGGAGGTCGCGGCGGTGGCGGCTACCACAATGCCCCCAACTACCCGCGCCGATACGACGCGCGCCCGCCGCCGCCGCGGTCGGACGGCCGTCCGTTGCCCGTGGACCCGCGCCAGATCTCAACGTCGTACCAGGACTTGGACTCGATCCATACGCCAGCGGTGAAATTGGACTTTCAAGACGCGTTGGGGAGCCTGCCGCCGCCGAAAAAGTTGAAAAAGGCCGACGACGGGCATGTCGACGGATGATAAACCGCGGGGGGTTCCGTCCTTTTATCGGACCCCGTTGGGTATTTTTAACATGATCAAACGTGTGTTAAACAATAAAAAGCATATCGATATATTGTCGATTTGGTACAAATTTGGGGAGGGGGTGCAATCGAATCGCGCCGACGAAACCGATCCACAATCGATCTGATTGGTTGAATTTCATTGAGAAGGTTTTGATTGGCTAATAATTTTGAGCTCATCTGAAGTAGCCAATCAAATCGATTTAAATTCCAACGAGAAACCACAACACGAAATTTCACTCGAAAGCACAATATTGTGGATTGGATACGAATTTCCAGACCCCATATCGAATCACGAATTGACGCTATTGGCGAATCCATTTTTGAGTGGATTGGATTGGCTCAGAAAGGACAAGGATATTCAACCAATCAAAACTCCAGCGTGATTCAAGATTGATTCGCGAATTTTGGAAGTTTCTAGCGAATATTCACAATCTAGTTGAGCCAATCAAAAAGGATCGATTTTTTGGAGCAAAATTGGGGCACCTTTTCAGACCTAATTTCGTCTTATACTACGTAGTATTAGTATATTTGTAATTTTGCCCAATGCGGAGACTTCAACGTTTGGATTGGCAGAAATTCGACAGAA